GTCCCCAGAGAGGTCTGTCTGTGCTTTCTAGTGTCACGTATCTCACGTAACTGCTGCGCTGGACTGGGCAAAACACAGCTGCCACCGTCAAGCCAACACCGCATGACAAAGGGGCTTCACAATCATTTCTAGCTCAAGTCAATTACTAGAACAATTTACTTCCACAAATGTGTGATGCAATGCGACTCTTGTGAGACCTTCTTGTGAAAAGACTGAGCCTGGGTTCCGTTCTCGAACTGTCGCATGTATTTTCATGAAATCGAGAACGTTCTAACCTCTGCGCTGCTGCTTACAGACCAGGAGTCTAGGCAACCTGTCGTCATCACCACAGATGACTCACAGAACATTATCGGGATGTGTTGCCATGCCAACTACCTAGTGATGCTTATGAAGACGCGATACCCCTCTTCATGTTTATTGACCAAATCGAAACAAAATTATGATCAGACGGTAAGAGAAGGACTAGTCTTTATGCTTGTGGTGAGGAATTTTCACGAAATAAATTCCTGCCGGCATTTGGCGCTGTACACTGACGGATGAACATTTTGGCACCTGACTAACAAGCGACGGGTTTCAAAGAGAGGCTAAAACACTATTGGTACACAGTTTCAATCTAAGTTTGTAAAGAACATCGGTTTTAGTTGTTATCACAGCTAAAACATCATGTGAAGGGCTCGCGTCTTCCGTCAGCACAGAGTCCGATGTTCAACATGTTTTTCACACGGTTCGCGTCATCTTCCGACCCCGGCAGATATTGTCTTACTACCAAGGATTCGGCATTGCGGGTCCATAGCATTCATAGTCAGTTTAACGGAGCAGTTCATTAGACGCGGTTGTGCGCTCGCGACCATTGATGGATGCCTGATGTCACTGCTAAGTCATAGCTGTGGAACTGGTGCTTAGTGGATATCTCGAAATCAGCCGACCAAAGTCCGTGGAGCCTGGTTACATCTTTTGATCATTCATATAGAACACAATATGGATTAATCTGCCCGCGGGCTTGTTACCAGTGCGTCATGGCCTCAAATCTATTGTGAATCATGAAACCTATGTTTCTGTAAACAAACTTGGGCTTTCCAGATCCACTGAGGAAACCAACTGCTTTGTGGTCGTCGACCAAAATATGTTCACCATGACCGCCATTTCTGCTTCTGTTTTAGGAAGTTGATAGTAGAACGACGAAAGTCGTTAACAATTGCAATCACTTTACTTCATTGTGGGCTTGCGAGCTTCATGGAAACTCTGTTGTCAGAAAATTTCGATGTTCAACATAGTACTCACTACCGGACTGACAGAGAATAGTTTATCGACAGATGTAAGCGGGCGCAGGCGTATTTTGTGGGAGAATTCTAGTCTAATGGCTTTTCAGACGCACTTTGCGCATGTATCGCTCAACGCCTAATTCGACGGTTCCCAACCAGTGTCAACCGGCGGGTGCGTTCCCCGGTGGCTGAACACAAACGACATTACACTCCACATCCTCTAGTTCATCCAGAAAGTAATGTTTGAGAAAATTGTAGGCTCAATTCAGTCTACATCAACAACAATCGGTGTTTCTTCCAGCTTCCGCAGTATGTAGGCCTATCTCCCACGACCATCAACGCATTTCAGTCTCATTTACTCCAGCCCATCACCTGGGCTTTTCCAACTATTTTACGTCAGCTGCAGGACATCATACCACACTATACAAGTTCCTTAAGGGGGTAGGTCTTTCCATCTAATGTCCCGTCGGATGCTTTGGAACTACCCAGAACCACCTGAGACACACAAAAACAGTTGCGAATGTGGTCGAAATTTAGCTCTCAGGACTAGACACTGGAGATGGCTCCACCCACCCGACCACTACTGCCGTGTGGACCCCGCCCGGAAATTCCACTCCTAATGGGTTTATTTCTACGGGGGGAGAGGCAGCAGGCGATTACTCGTACACTGTCATGCGCACCCGTCCTGGTGTGTTCCTACATCTTTATGTCCGCAAAACATGCTATCGATCCTGTCCGTAGTTGAGCTTACTTGTCGTGTACTGTTGGTTTGTCGTTTAGTTTGGTTCACGAATGTATAACCCGAGGTCGCGGTAGGTTGGACTTTTTTCTTCAGAGTAGTATATGGCAGTACAGTAGTAGTTCCATCATGCCAGCCAAAAACAGCACGAACAACACCGGTTGATCATTGCGCAATTGCTTGGCGCGTTTGCTTGTTCAGTGTCTTTCGTTGTTTGTTCAGTTCAGACAAAGTAAATGTGTCGAAAAACTTTAAGCGCGCTCACGAGTTGTGTGCTACGTACAGACATATTTGCATAGTCCTCGCATCTGCCAAAACTATCTACAGTGCCAAGACCAGAAGCATGTGAATAGAACACGCTACGTCATTATCGTCCAGTTCCTCGTCCCCCATGTAGTTTCATTCGTTTCACCACTAATTTGACTACACATGTATACCCATGTACTGGTTCAAACGTTGAATGGTTTAACCAGAGTACGGCCCAATCAGTGAATTTGTCAGAAACAATTCGTCTGCTCACCTGATTATGGGGTACATAACAATCTTAAATTAAGAACTTTGAAGTGTGTGTGGCAACTATGATCAACATGATTGTGTACTTTGTTGGAAGCTTCCATAACTTTTTGTCTTATAAAGCTAACAAGAGGAGTTATTCCCATGAGCCAGGTTGGTTGAATGAATGCAAACTTCGCTTACTGCTATTTCAGCCGAAGCCTATGTTTCGGATTCAAAACACCAGCCTGAGAAAGAATTCCATAATCCATGTGGTCCCTTAACTGTACTGATTCTGAAGTACCGGTGATCTCCCCATTTGTTTTTATATCGTCACTACTTGAACGACATTTTCGTACTTGCCGACAAAACCATCAGCACAACAGATGTACTAAGTAATTTCAATTCAGTCCATACTAATATCAAGGTCACTGTTGAATCAGAGCAGAACGGACAGTTAAGTTTCTTTGATGTCAATGTTAAAAAGAAGACTGACAGGACCATAGAACTCAAGGTCCACAGAAAGCAAACGTGGAAATGCCAGTGAATTCACTTTGATAGCTTCGTTCCGTTGCAAGAAAAACGTAACCTAATTAGATGCCTGACTGGGAGAGCAATGAAAATATGCTCACCCGGCTGCTTAGAAGAGGAACTAAAGTTCTTGGGATGCACATTCCTGCAGAACGGATATCCTGAACGGTTCGTACTCAAGACTATGGAAGCCGTTAAGCCAAAACACACACAATGTTCTGTTGGGAAGAAGGCCGTATACATGAGGCTTCCATTCAAAGGCGACTCGTTTGCTGAACTAACCACCAGAGGGTTTAGAAACTCTGTTGATACGACAAAGTTGGCCGCTAATCTGTGTTTGAGCTTCAACTCCAACCCCACTACCAGATTCCGCTTGAAGGACAAATTGCCACGTTCTACCACGTCCCCCATGTAGTTTCATTCGTTTCACCACTAATTTGACTACACATGTATACCCATGTACTGGTTCAAACGTTGAATGGTTTAACCAGAGTACGGCCCAATCAGTGAATTTGTCAGAAACAATTCGTCTGCTCATCTGATTATGGGGTACATAACAATCTTAAATTAAGAACTTTGAAGTGTGGTGTGTGTGGCTGATCAACATGATTGTGTACTTTGTTGGAAGCTTCCATAACTTTTTGTCTTATAAAGCTAACAAGAGGAGTTATTCCCATGAGCCAGGTTGGTTGAATGAATGCAAACTTCGCTTACTGCTATTTCAACCGAAGCCTATGTTTCGGATTCAAAACACCAGCCTGAGAAAGAATTCCATAATCCATGTGGTCCCTTAACTGTACTGATTCTGAAGTACCGGTGATCTCCCCATTTGTTTTTATATCGTCACTACTTGAACGACATTTTCGTACTTGCCGACAAAACCATCAGCACAACAGATGTACGATTAGTTTCAGTTCAGTCCATACTAATTTCAAGATTACTATCGAATCGGAACAGAACGGACAGTTAAGTTTCCTCGATGTCAATGTTAAAAAGAAGAATGACGAGACATTGAACGCAGGGTTTACAGAAAGCAAACGTGGAAAGGGCATTATATTCACGTCGATAGCTCCGTTCCGTTGCAACAAAAACGCAACCTAATTAGATGCCTGACTGAGAGAGCAATGAAGAGCTCGCCCGACTGGGTAGAAGAGGTGCTAAAGTTCTTGGAACGCCCATTCCTGTAGAACGGATATCCTGAAGGGCTCGTACTCAAGACTATGGAAGCCGTTAAGCCCAAACCTTCCATTCAAAGGTGACTCGGTTGCTGAACTAATCACCAGAAGGCTTAGCAACTCCGTTGATACGACACTTGGTCGCTAATCTATGTTTGAGCTTCAACTCCAGCCCTACTATCAAATTCTGCTTGAAGGATAAATTGCCACGTTCTACCACCAGCTTTTGTGTGTATTCATTTGCATGCTCGTGCAGAGCATCATACTTTGGTCGTAGGACAAGGCATTTGTCGGACAGAATACGAGAACACAATCCCGTATCTCTGAGTGTTAGTGGGAAGAAACCAGGCTCAAGCGCGATTGCATCACATTTCCTTCACCGTCATACACCGGGTATCTCTGAACCGATCACGACTGGTACGATCCAGACTACTATCGACTGCAGAGGCGATTGGAATCCGACTGCTGGGTCCGCAACTTTGCTTCCAAAAGAAACTCGTGGGACCTCTGAACTTGAACTGGCCTACGAAACATCTGGTCCCACATGTCTGTCTGATATTGGCGTCACTTATATGGTTCCGTGACCCATTGATCTATCCCTCATCCAACCCCCCTTACTTTGATTCCTATTTCTCTAAAGTGTATGTAGCCCAGATCTTAACCTTTTCCACGTGATTTCTGCCAGCATATAAATTTGTGATGTATTAGCCAAGAGGAACAATCCCAGTAAACAAGCTTTGTTCGTTACGCTCTTCGTTATCATGACTACCACGGGTATATTCAGCCACATTTGTATTTATCTATAAAATCTAGCACAAAGTTGCACAGTCTGTTACGGTAAAGTGGAAAACTTGTAGACTCGATCGGAAGGAACCGACCGTTTAGACAGCCGGTGGATTTATTACTGGGCAACGTTTCGCTCTCGACCCAAAAATCGTGACTCGCCAACTAAGTAAGTTACCTGGCTGACGTGGTGGAGAACGAATCTTTCAAACGGCAGAGTTAAACAGGGTTGAATATCAGTCAGAAGCTGTTTTTACTTTAGTGTTGATGACTGGTAGTTACTTCCGATGGTTCAGAAGGAAATCGGATCGGGTTATGGGTCTTACTGTCCCGGTTCCGAGCAATTTATTATCATCTATGGGCGAGCGATTGTTAAAACAGTTTGATTGGGAGTTGGGAACATTCCGAGGATTGTGACTGACTTTAGCTATGTACTTTACTTCAATGAAAAGCACATACAAGCGTCGGTTAACTCAGCTGAGCTAGAACCGCTCCAGATGCGCTCGCCAATTCGTCGCCATCAGTCCTATTCACGCTGGGCTACTTCACGTTCTATCACCTCCGCTAACAAACGCTGCGGTGTGAATCTTGGTTCTTGCCGCATAGTTCCAATGATTGCCCCAGTAGTACCGAAATTTTCGCAGTGGCGCTACTGTTGTTTCAGCAAGGTTTACTACAGTAAAGATGCGGTGCATAAAAGAGGTCGATCGAAAAGCACCAACTAGAGAGTAGCTACAAAGTTGCACCAAGAGAGTGGCACTCACTGAATTGAATCAAGCGGTAACTAGGGTGGTTATTGGCCCCAACAGGACCCAGTTGTTCGGAACAGCAGGCACTTCATACACAAGAGAGACATCTGAATTTATAGAGAGAGTGCTGCATACGACCAACACTTAGGTATCATTCAAGAAGGGAAAATTCCTATGCTTGGGATTGGCAGTGTTGAAGGGTGGTCGCCCAGTTGACACGACTGACTGCTGTGTATAGGAAACAAAATTTAGCCACTGCGAGAATGCCGGAATTGATGAGCACATGCGACGGATAAGTTAAATACCAAGAAACAGGGGCGGGTATCCGGCAATAGTCAAAGACTCGACAGTGGCGGCGCGTGCAGAGTGCAATGGACAGATTAGATTTGGAAAATATGGAAGTTTTAAGGCAAGGACCAAAAATCAACAAGCTTTCGCCGGTCGGAGATTTTATTGATTAGTTCTGGACCCATGCTTAGAACTGATAACTTATTCTCCTGGCCTGACAAAGCTTTTGTGTCAAAAGCGAAATTGTGCCCAGTAGCAACTCCCCCAAGTGTTTGGCATACCCCTCCGAAATGACATTCACTCACTTGTTCGATAACACCTCGTCTGGATTTAAGGCTAGTTCACTCCACTTTCTGGCCAAAATTTATTAACTCTGACAATACATAACAAGAACGGTGTGTTGCTCTTAAGAAAAGTGAGACACTGTAGTAATTGGAGACTAGCTACCCAATAATTTCAAAGCAGATGATGCCATTATACGGATACGCGCCACTTGTTCCAACAACAACGTTCTTTTAACTATTATTTTTGTACTTCAAAGCTACACTGATCGATTCTCCAATCAGGGAATTTCTGGCGTTTTTTTGACATCTTTTCTTACTTGTGTTTAGCTCTGTATGGTCACAGCTAAAACTACCCTGGTTTTATCGTAAAAAATATGCACACTGTTCGGTAAATGTTTCAAACCTTTCGAGATGTTGCCATTCGTCTTCAGAACTTCTGTTTCATTGTTAATTCAAATTACGTACGACACTTGCTTGGTGTTTTCACTGGGAGAATTTACTATTCTTCACCATGTGGCCATATTTGACCTCGCTAGTACCCGTTAGATTGTTGATCGAAAAGTGTTCACTCCCGTCTATGACGTGAAAGACTCGCATAATCCTATCATTTGACCTATTTTTCAGCTGGCATCGCTCGCGTTTGTGCGTGCATCCTTTTGCACATGTGTGCAAAGGGCACGAACAAAGGAGTGACGTCAAAACCACCAGGCACAGCCACCAGAAAGTGAAAGTGAACTACACTTTCCCTGCCATTCGACCTTCACTCAACCGCATGCACTGATAGGCACACGACTGCCGTCAGTAGCGAGAGATCACGTGATTCAAACGCTCCAATGTATGCCTACTTGATGAGCGCCGCCAAGACGCCTTAGTTTAGTGCGGTTTTGAAAATGCTAGCGGAGTCTACCGTGCCACATGGGTGTTCCATTGATGAGGTTCACCTAAGCAGACAACCGACAGTATTCGAAGGAATATAACTTTATGTAGGATGGTTGGATATAGGAATGAATGTGTGATAAAATCTAGGCTAGTCTGCAATCGATTGTCTACCTTTTTGCGCACAAAAGATGGTTGGTTTACTTGCCGAGCTTGCTGCTGGAGCGTTAGCCACAGGTTTCATTCTCATAACTATTCCCAAAGTTGGGTCATTCTGTTAGTTTGACCAAGATTCTACCTTTCAGGTGAAGTTAACCTGTACGAAAAAGCTGACAAGCATTGTACAGTAGCTTCATCCTTTTTGGGATTGGATTTCAGCGCATCTTCAGGCGGATTCGAATTCATTTGAACTCGGAAGGATAAGCGGCGTTATATCCTGTTCACGTGCGAGTCACTTGCACTTTTGATCAGACGCTCACGGTCCAAAAGTTTAGTGGTCAACAATTAGCAGAAAGCTTGCGATTTTAAATCGCTATGGCGGTTGGTGAGATGTACACTGACGATGATTTCCAATAAGGATGAATCAGACCTACAATGCTTCGTGACTTCTCATTAAAGGCTGTC